AGCTGGAGCCAGGGGGCAAACTTCCAGAGGGTTCCCAACTCCTCCCGAGGGGGGACTTGCTGACCGCCCACTGCCCCACCTTGTGGTATAAAGGGATTGTCGCCGGGTTAGCCAACGACTGACGGGGGTGGAAAAAGCCATTCTTGTAACCCGCCGGACAAATCTGAGACCCAGGACTGCTGGCTTGGGATCTTAGCCACCTGCGACCAGCTCCCAGTGTCCCCTTAGTAGCATAGTGGGTGGTAGAGTTTCTTGGAAGTGGAAGGTGAAAAGAACATTTATACCTGAGAACCAACTGGGTTCAACTGTTGTCCACATTTTAGCATATCAAGGGGAGAAAGCAAGCCCAATAGTCACCATAAGCCGAGCCTGACCACTGAGGCCACGGGAACTGGGTACCGGCCTGAATCAGGAAGGAGAAGGGGTGGGGAGATCGCTAGGCGCTAGACAGGGCCCCACGGGGAGGGCTCGGCTTTTCTCGAGTCTCTGCCACTGCTCTCCCGAGCTTCTCTCCAAGACCCTCTACCCTCACTCCCTCCCGCCGGAAAAGGGCTTCCCCCTGGAAACCCCCAGTGAAATCACGCCGTTACTTTCAGGTGGAGCCGGGAACCCTTTCCCCAGCACGTGGTCCTCGTTCCCAGCAGAGCGCCTCCCCCGCAGCTCCCCGCCCAGCTAGCCCGGACGCTAGCCAGAATCCGAAGAGAATGGGGGAGTTGGAGGTTGCAGAGGGAAGCTGGCTTTCGGGGGGCCTCTGCGTGGCCGACTGGGGAAGCCACGTGCTAGTAGTCCCCTTGGATAGGGCGCTCTCGCGTTCTGCTACCAGTAGAGCCCCGGCTTTAGCGTTGCTCTGCGATGCACAGAAGCTCATGCTCGAACTCACCGACGGGCTCCCCGAAGTGCTTACAGGGCAACCACCGTAAGCAGGACCCACACAGCGGCCACCTTCGGGAAGAAACCGGCGGGTGGTACTTGTCCTCTCTCCTCCTCCCTCTCCTCTGTTCCCCCTCTATGCCCGCCAGACTCGGAGTCCAGCCCCGGGTTTGGAAATCCCCGCAACCTTTCTGGCCGATTTGTTCCAAAGAAGCGCGGCTCTGGAGCTGCTGTTGCCACGGCGCCTCCTCTCCCCAAGTAGGCGGTTGGCGAGGCGTCCGGGGTTCTGGGGGGAGCTCTGCGGAGCCCCAAGGCGCCGGCTGATCCGAGTTCGAGAGCTAGAGGATCACACTCGCCCAGCAGCTGGACTGTGCGGCGGTGCCTCCCCAAAAATAAACCATCGGGACAGCGCGGACACCTGCATCCGCGGCCACCGCTGCAGTCCAGGAGCGTCTCCCCTACAACCAGCAGCGCTGCCCCCGCGGCTTTAAGTCTCCCGAAGTGAAAACAGGGGGTTCCCGATAAACCCAAGGTAAGACCCTGCAGGGGACTGAGTCCCAGAGCTCCCTGAGGAAGGCGGAGAGAGCGTGCTTCCATCCTCGGTTCACTTTAAACTTAGCGGCTTCTGGGACTTCATGGAGGGCACTGGCAGAGGCGAGAGAGCACCTCCAAATACTTAGCCCGCGGGGCGACTCCTTGTTCCTTCAGGATCGTCCCACTTGCTGGCGCCTCTTCCCGGCTGAGCTGATTGGAACCGCTCAAGACTGGGAGATGAAGCTTTGCAGTCCCCCTGGGACCAAAGTGTGTGTGTGTGTGTGTGTGTGTGTGTGTGTGTGTGTGTATGGGGAGAGAGAGAGAGAGAGAGAGAGAGAGAGATGTTGAATGAGAAACCCGAAGACCTCGCCTTGCTGTACTGATTAACTTTTCTTTTTCGTTTTGGTTTTCTTCTTATTATCTCCCTCCCTCCTCCCCACTTTCTCCCCCCTCCCCACATCCCGACCCGGATCGAGGTGAAGAAGGGGCACATTGATCCAGTTGTAATAAGTCCAGAGTTGGGAACAGGGTCAAGTTCCACTGTCTTCCTGGGCGCGCACACGTGTGTGTGTGTGTGTGTGTGTGTGTGTGTGTGTGTGTGTCTGAGAAGGGTGAAACCCACCTATCCTTAAGGTGCGGAGTAATATGTAATGTGTGTAACTTTTCAGTGTGCCTTCCTATTCATTGTAAAAGTGCTTTCTTCTGCTTTCACATTTCTTCTCCTCTCTAGAAAGCACTCTGGTGAAGCCGAGTACCTCTCACTCCCAGGTACAGTGTGTATGTTTCCCTCCTATACGGGCCCATTGGAGCTTGCCGGTGAGAGGAAGAAGAAAGCTTTGTTTTACATGCCTTTCAGTGGGAAGTGGCAAGACTTTCAAGGAAAAGACCAGGGTATTCTTCCCAAAGGATCATTCAGAAGAGTTAAAGGGTAATTTTTACTTTTATTTCCCCCAAAGGAAAAAAAAAGCCTCTGAAAACAAGGAAGATGAACATTTCTAGTTTGTCTATATGATGATTATTACAATTAACTAACTCTGAAACTAGTATACCTTTAAGAGTTCAAACTAATTTCTTGTAGAATAGGGTCCCTTAACACATTAGCATCTAAAGAGAACTAAATTTTATTTCAGTCATTTATTTTTTATTTTTCTCAATATATCTGCCTAGATTGTCTTAATGTATCCCTCAATCCAGTTTATACTAAATCACCTTTAAATTATGTCAAATGTCTCTCTCTCAGATTGTTTATGGTATAAATGCTGGATTGTTTTCCCATAATAATCTAGAAGTTGAAAAAAAGTTGAGTGTTTTGCTGATTTCAGACAATTAATGGAAATATGACTCTTTTGCAGTAAGTTAATGGATACCAAAGGTAACCTGAGTTTCTGGTTATATTATAATTTAGCATTTAAGTTTCTTCTAAGGCAGTGAAAAAGGCACGATATACTGTATTTTAAAATTTTAATTAACAATTTGTTTGCCTACCCCCATGAATTTTCTTATATCTGTGGATTGAAGTTTGTGATAAATTATCACTTTTGATCTAGTCTGTATTCCAGTTTAGGACCAAACTGTCCTCTCTTTAACCAATGGCCAGTCTCCCTTTAGCTTGCAAATCAAATAAGACTACCATAAAGCTCCTTGAAGCAAGAAGGCTCAAAAACACAAAGGGAAAGCCAAAACCATGAATGCTATAAACATTTCATTTTATTTTTTTAAGAAAGTAGCTTCCGAAAAATTTATTTACAGTGGAATTACTTCCAAATTTCCTGGATTACTAATAACTATTGTAAAGAGCTTTTGATTCCTTTTACAAATATAAAGTCCTCCATTAATTCAAGACTGGAATATGATATGAAGAACCAACAGGGAAATACAGGTTTTTGAATTGAAGGAACAACATTTAAAAAAACTATTAAAATAGGCTAAATGAAATCCAAACATCAATATTTTTCAAATTACTACCAAGTTGTGCCCTACATAGTTTTGAAATATAAAAGGAGATCTGCTTATCTTAAAACATGTTTCTGATGTTGTACTTGACTATAAAGTCCTAAGGTACAAATTGTTTTAGCAATCAGACTTGAAGACCCAGCATATTTCATCATAAATAAACAGATTTCTCATTTATCTATTCTGGACATCCCCACAGAAATCAAACTTATTTACTATTTAGCATTCTCCTGAGATACAGAAGATATTTTTTCTCTTTATTTTATGTTCAAATAAAAATACTTTTTTGTTGTTGTTGAATGCTTTCACTTGCTCTTGTGTAAAGCATACATTTGCTTTCCTTTCTTCCTGTATTTTTTGTGAGATTTTTAAAACTTTATGGATCCTGATGATGGGGTACTACATGATTTAAGGTCTACATTATGAGCACTGAATTAGCAATAAGAACTCAATAAATTACTACATGAAAGTGGTCATTTCCTTTACTAAGAAAAGTGATTTTTTGAACCTTAATTTTTAAACATAAGTGTAATGATTTTTAATGATAGTGTCCTAGGAAGAACTTTTTGAGAGAGCACAAAGAGGAGTTATTTCAGAGATAAACATTGCTGGACATAAAAGGCAATTCTTAGGCAATATTGCAAGTAAGAAGTAAATTTTATCTTTAATATCCATCCATCTTTTTTTTCTTGCTTATTTGCTTACATCCTGGTATCAACTCCATGTATTTGTCTGGTGCTTTCATTTTGTTACCCCAAACCCCCAAAATGCAACATCCTATCTAGGGATATCTAACCCAGAGAAGAATGATACAATATTGTGATCTATTTTCCTCTTTTAGTCAAAGCCTCCAGTTAGTCATGTTAGGTAGATCTAATTAAATCATTAAGAAGAAAACAATCATAGCACACTAATTCCAACTAAAGTGTCATCCACTACCAGTTTGCCTAATTCAGGAATATGAAACCAACTTAACGTCTGAAAAAGCAGAATTTCTGGCAGTGTGATACATATATGAGAAGCAAAGTCACCTCGATCATCCTTAAATTTTCATACAAGATTGAATGTTAACTATGGTACTGTTTTTTATGTTTTACTTTTTGTGTTTTTGATAGTGCCCTGAAACAATTACTAAAACCTACATTTTCACCTTGAGAGAAACATTCAGAAAGTTTTATATTTATATGTCCATATAGTATTTTAGGAACGTTTCCACTGGATCTTGAAACTCTATTCTAAAATGG